CAAGCCAATCATCATGGGTAATGCCTAGATAACCTTCAGCCAGCTCCATCATCTTTTTGTTATCCCATACAGTGTCAAACCCGTGGGTAGGAAGAAAAATATCCCAGCCGTCGAGATCAATAGAAGACCCTGTAGTGAACCACGTTTCGTACCCTTTTTGTGTGAAAAATTGCGGCATTCCGGTCAAATTTGTGTCCTTTGCACCACCCGTGATACCTGTCTTCACAGCGCTGTGGTACGGGATCTGTGCGAATAGTACACTTTCCAGCGAGCGACTTGTTGGGTTGCTCGACCAAATATTACGAAAAGCAACACCTCGCTTCGCCCATTTGTCAAAATTTGGAGTTATTGTCAAATTTGTGCCTTTGAACAGGTTTGACGGGTCTTCTTCTCCCACGAGGTAGCGCGAGTCCTGGAAGCGGAAGGACTCGACGCCGATGACCAGAACGTTCGGCGGGTTGTTGCTCTTCACGTCGACGTCGAACGCTAAGTCGCCTTGGAATCCTGTTGTACGGCGGTATAGCGAGTCGTCCCCGAAGAGCTCGTGCTTCTCAGTCTTGTGGATGAACATTTCTACCCACGGCTGGTCGCCGAACACTTTGCTGAGTGTGAGATCAGTCGGTGCGGGCTGCAAGGCGTTGGCAAACAGTTCATTCAGGGTCGCATTCAACGCCGAGTATGCCACTAGAGGTGAGCTGGCACTGCTGATTGACACGACAGCCGCAGGGACGAGAACCAGGCCGATAACAACGACAGTAGCTCGCACAGCCTGGTGACAAGCGAGACGGCGATAGCTCTCAGTCTTCGCTGAAGGTAGCAGAGAATGCGTATCGGTAGTCGGTGATGCGTTGCCTTCTCCCTCTTCCAGAGTTTGGTCCACATCCTGCACTGCGTTTTTGTTGATACACTTGTTGCTACGGGATTCCAAAAGGATCAGCCTTGGCACCAGGAGATTCAACGCCAAGTGCGTAGGATTCCACTGCGATAGATCTGTCCAGTCGGCGAATGCACGCACAAGACCAAAGAAGGTCGCGACCATCATGAGCCCCAACGCATTAACGTAGCTAGTATTGACTTCCTCTTCGGTGATCGGCGCGTCTTTGAGATGTTCTCTCTCCCTGATGATCGTAGCGACAAGACCGCTACTAAATCTCATGTCCCGGTGCACTACCAGCAGCAAGTCCGCGATGAACGGGGCCATCATAGCCAGGAACAGCGCAGAGGAGACGAAGAATGTTGCGAGCACGCGGACAAGCTTGTGGTGGCCCATTGCTACGCGTTTGAGCGAGTCAAAGATGCAGAGTAAAGTAGCGAAGTAAGTGGTGCAGACGAAATCCTCTAAGAAGCCGAGTCCCATGACCGCGGCCTTGACTCGTGTAGTGTATTCGGCCACGCTACTGTACTTGATCACTAGAGCCTTGAGCGCGACGAAGCGACTGACGGAAAAGTAGAAGAGCACGAATGTGTAGATAAATAGCCAGCCGAGCCACGCCGGCACATCGCCGAGGTCGAAAATCTCTCCGGCTTGTCGCCGTCGCCGTCTCGTCTCCGATATTTCCGAGTCCACATCGTTCGCGAGTGGCTCTGCAGCTCTGTGTCGTGTGGATTGGTACTGCGCCTCCATGAAGTGCAGTGAGGGGACGGCGCTGTCTATTGGGGAGTGGAGGCGGGTTGTTGTCATCGTCTTGAGCTTCGTCTTGTTGCGCACGTCTGGCAGGTGGGCTCAGCTATGTACACGTTGTCGACGCAACCACATACAATTTTACTGTTAGAAGCCGACCTACCCCATCAGATGGGGATGGATGTCATGGAATCCATGATGGATATCTGTGTGCGCTGTAACAGCGCCGCTGTTTGTCGTCCCCCATCTTAATAATATGCATGTCGAACTATTCCACGTGATCCTACAAAATCTTGTTTCATTTCTTCTCAATATGGGTCAGTGGTCTAATGCTCATTTGGCAGCCCAATCGCCAACCTGGCAGTTAGGCGTACGGGAATGCAACGTACAAAGGCTTCTACCCCTTCCTTGATTGCGTTACCCCAACTGGGGCAGTGAGTCACTGCCAGTGACACTGGTGTCACTAGTAGATCGCCTAGAATCTGAAAGCTCAAGCCATCATGAACGCCCCAGTTCAGTCCACGATGAGCTGCGCCAAGCCAATCATCATGGGTA